GTCCCATGTTGAAAGCAGCGGGTCTGCTGCTAGTTCTGCAGATACACTATCGCACAGCGTCTTTAAAACCGGGGCAGCTGGGGGGGAGCTCCGCTACTCACGCGCTTTTCCTCTTACAGCTTCTGAATGTTCTTATTAAGGTACTAAGCCTGAGGAGTGCTATTTTATTAGTTACTCGTTGGCTGCCTCCTCAACATTATGCTACGAAGTTATTAGGAGAAAAATGGAGCAAGACAACCTACTATGTTATGTGGTTAGAGCCAGAGAGTAACAGCTATGTTCAAAGACCATTTGACCTCACCTAAACAAATAAATCTGTTTCCTCATTAGGCTTCCAGGCTGCACTAAGCTGCAGGAAGCTAACATTATCTTCCTCTGCATTATACATCAGCTGCAGCCTCTCTGTATGAACCAGAAACTCTGGATCTTCAAGTGATGTTTGGATCAATCCACTGTTTTGTTAAAATCAGTATCAGTTTACTTAGCCAGAAATCACTGAATGCTTGACTCTGGTAATGATTTCTCTGTTGCTTCAATTTCAGACTCAATTTTGCACCAATTTCAGACTGAATTTTAACTTATTTAATCCAAATGATGTACCCTGATTTTCTTCAGGTTCTTGTAGATCCTTCAAATGGGAACTAAGGATCAAGAATCAGACAAAATGGTTTCTAATGACAAAGAGAATGGATACAGCTTCCCTCTCTACAATGCATGTTTCATTATTAAACTAAACTATCTTAGAATAGTTCTTAAAAATCACATATTTTAAACTTTCAAAATTTCATACTGCAAGACACAGAGCTCCAAATCAGCTCCAAATTAACATCAGGATTTTATAATCTGGTGCTTCTTACCTGAGAAAAGAGTGAATTCAGTAACTGTTAGAAGTATCAGTCCCTGGTCTATTCTACAAAATCTCATCCAATCTTCATACTCCACGGTAAATGCCACCCACTGTAAAATATCTCAAGCTACTGGCCAAAACTCTAACAGATCTGTATCAACCTTCACCTTCAGAGTCAACACCAAGCCCTAATGTACTGCCTGCCTCAGAACTGTCAGCAACAGAGGTGGTGCCTCCCACCACCCACTGCAACCAGCCCACCGTCCCTGCCTGCTTGATGACCAGATCATCTCCTCCAGCAGCCCCGGGAGCACTGATGACATTCCAGCTGTTCTGACAGCTGAGGACTGCAGTGGCTGAAGTATGCTACACATCAGTTTGAGGTACAATGCTCCTGAATGTATTTGCTTTATTCTTCGGTGCATATTCAGATGCATATTTATTTCTTCATGTATATACTTTGGAAAACCAGAATGATTTGTCATTTTAGTAACACCCAAATGGGGTCATTCACTGAGTCCTGCACAGAGCACTGAAAAGACTAAGGTGCTTCATGAACGCACTGCATCGGTTTGCAAAGCTTTATAGCCACGCTAGTGCACGTGAGAAAACACATCATGATTTAACTGATCAATATGTAGACTAATTTCAACTTCCATAAGTAAGGAGCAGGCAGAAGAAAAATCAAAGAGCCATAATAAAACTTATATGAGAGGAAAATGAAATAAAATTACCATCTTAAGGAGGTCAGAGGAGGACAAGAGACAGACAAATAGGCACTGAGAGAGCACGTGTGTTTGAGAGAGACAGAGAGACAAGGTTAGAGGAAGAGGAGGCAGTTCAACAGTGAAACATCTGAACATGGGAAGGAAGCTGGGTCTGATCCAAGCAAAGGCTGGAAGGCTCTAAGAGGTACTGAGCATAAGCCAGCATCCCCAGATGCTTCTCTGCTAGCTCAGGGAATATAAAAAGAAACCATTCCCAGGGAACAGAGCGCAGGTAGTGTTTCAACTGATATAAAGTCTTTGCTTAGTGCACTGTTTCCTCTCATCACAGCAATGTGGCAGTGAATTGCAGGGTTATGGTGGAGAGAGAGGTGAAATACATCATGCTGTCTATGTGCAGGACACCAACAGGGGCACTCTAGTTCCACACAATTTCCCCTTCTACAAGGCACCGTCTTGCAGGAGACTGGCTCACCAAATGCATCCCAGAGCTCAGCAGACGGCTGTGCAGGACGAAGATTGTGTTTGGAGGCTTTGTTGGGAACAGATGGCTTTAAAGCTCAGACCCAGGAAGGCTGCTCTGTTAGGGGTCGCTCTGGAACAGAGACTCTCCTATGAGGAGGAGCTTGCTGAAAAGCTAGCCAAAGGCTCTGGTGGGTGACAGGGCTGCCAGCAGCACTCAGTGTTCCCTCCCAACAGTGAGGGGTCATCTAGCCCCAGTCCTGCTCATTTCTGCTCCTCACCTTTCCCTTGCCTCCTAAGCAACTCAAATCCAATTAGACATATTTGCAAATCTACCTCCACGCAACTGTGCACCATTTAATCCTACACCTTCACTTACAGTTTTGACCCAAATGCTCACGGGCATGAACAAGTGAAACCTGGAAGAGCTTTTCCGCTGCTCACAACTTGCCTACATGTGCCATTTGAACTGATCTCAGTTTACACAGATATATCTGCATGTAACTCTGACCTCAGCAACATTATCTTGAGAGACTTTGCACCTAATGCTTATAAGCATCACAGCACAGGACTGCTAACATACTGTCCAGAAGGAATGCAACCATTTGGGTTCCAGTTATGGCACTTCTTCATCAGTGCGTCACTTATGCTTTTTAAAATTTCACTTCCAAATTTCACAAATGTTTCCAAAGGAACATCTGTGATAAAATTAAAAAAAAACCCAACACACCTATTTTTGCAGAGGGTTCAAAGAATAACCAGAAGTCAGTTTTTCAAAGAGGATTTTCTTCTTTCCCCAAAATTCTTTGATCCTACTCTTTCTGCTCTGAAGAGTGCAACAGGACAAGTTTTGCACTGGAATGCTCTGATGAAGCCCATTTTACAGCTGAGTTTTCTTTTGCTGCGATGAAATTCCCACTGCCATAAAAACACAAGTGCTTGAAGTGCTGAGCCTATACTGAAACAGAGAAGTTCACTACCTTGTATTTCAGCTCTTCGTAACTATGATGCAAAAGCAGCTTTCACTGCCGGCTTGGGGCTAGTTACAGTGATTCATATGAGCTTAAATTGTATAAAATTCCTTTGCAGAGGGACAAGATCAGTTCACTGTTCGCCTCCAGCCCAGCTTGACTTCATAGTCAAACATGAACAAATTACGCTGTAAAATCAGCAATAAGAACGGTAATAAGGAGCAGAGAAGATTTATCTCCTCTTTAAACTAGCTGTCCATGTAGGTTTCTGTCAAACTAGCACATACTGAGTACTCTGCTAAATCCTCCTCTAAAATGATCTCTTCAAACGCATTTCTTTTGCAGTGTATTTCATTTCCCAAGTGAGGGTCAGGGATGCACCTGATGGACTGTCTCAATGGAGGCTTCTTGCCTTGAATTTCTATTGATTTATTTTTTTTTTAAACTGAGGCCAATTGAGAGTTTTCTTGTACGTTTTGGGTCCAACAGGCAACTCTTAAAAACCTTTTCTGTTCTGGAAGCCACAGTCTGCACAGAAAACTCTTATCTAGATGAGTTCTGTGCACGCTACATTTCTCATTCAGCAATTATTATCTCTTCTCTTGATTTAAACAACTCCTTTTTTCTTCCCTTCACTGTATCATAAATCCAAATATCTGAAATTCAGACCCCATCTGAAACTTCATTTCATAAGAAAAAAAAAATGCTGTGGTAAAATCTGATTCTGCCAATAGCTTAATTTATTTTTCCCATTTCTTTTATCCTTCCTCTCCCAAGACTGTTAGATTTCTAAACTTTTAGTTAAAATTTGGATGTCATTTGTCAGGTATTCTGGGCAGCATCGAATCTCTACAACTGCGTAGAAGCTGCTCACCACTCTTGAAAATCATGTCACAAAAATCACTGGTCCACAACTACATTTGCCTTGTGCCCACAACATTTCCTGCCCAGCTCCAGCGCTTGGTATTAATCTACATCCATGATATAGTTATGGCGATCAAACCCTTCTTCTCTAACTACAACCACTTCTCTGTCATATGTAAGTGAAACCATAGAAAAAAAGCATCCCTAAAAACATTTCTAGTACAAGCACTTGTTCTGCATTTCCCTCAGTCACCCCATGTACTCAGAGGATAAAGCTTTAGAGCTGAGAGAGATGAAGAACCTGATACCACACGACTCACAGTCTATCAAGATTAGGGCTCACACTGACTTAGTAACAAGCTCCTTGTGCTACTTACCATTTGCCTGCAAAACTGTCTCCAGACTTGTGCCTGGGATCTTCCTTCTTTCCCACAGCACACGCACTGCCATGCCTCTCCCCTCTCAGATCAGTTCCTGTCAGTCAAATTCAGAGATCTCTTTTTCCAAGCTCTTTATTTTTCCCTCTCTTTTTTTTTTACTTTTTCTCCTTCTTCTTTTAAGAAAATGTATAACGAAAGAGCCAAATGCAGTTCCAGAGACTTCATGAATAGGCCCAAGATATAGACACATGGTTTGCGAGTTGGCTGTGTATTATCAGCCCCATTTATCATTGCAGAAACTTGTAGAATAGCAAAGTGCATTGTCTCCCTAAGCATCCTGTCCCTGGGATAAAATCTGCTCCTCATGTTCTATAGTCCAGTGATTTATCAACAGAAATTAGCATTTTCTATTTCGTTTCTTTCGTATTCCAGTCAGCTCTTGAGCTCTTCCCTTGAGAAATACCAGATTATCCACACTTAATTGATTTCTGGTGTTGATATCATTGGCAGTGCTAAAGCAGAAAACATGATTTCAAAACTGAAACGTTAACTGGAATCCAATAATCCTTATAAAGCTGAAAAAACTTAACAATTTGATCTATTCCATTACAGTTTAGCTGTGATAAAACCAAACAGGACTGCTACTGAATGGCATTCAAACACAACATAGTAATTTTCCACTCCCTGTTTTTATGTGAACATCAATATAAACCCATCAGCTGATAGATAAATGAATGGTTGGCAGCATTACCAGAGCAGACAAAGTCCTTCTTCTGCACATCTGCCACCAGGAAGCCGCGCAGGTTGACGGGGGCCAGGCAGAAGGTGAACTGCCCGATGGTGCGGCGCTGCCGCAGCCAGTCCGACAGCCAGGCCAGGTGGCAGTCGCAGTGCAGGAAGTTGGAGTGAAGCCGCCTACAAAACACACAAGAACCCTCAAGTTATCAACAGCAGTTTAGACATAAAACACAAAGCAGAGCAAGCAAGTACAAGTCTGTCTCTTCAGCACAATTTAGTAGGATCATTGCAGTTTATTAATTAAAGTTGAGCCAGGTCTTGACTCTCTACATTGACAAATAAGTTACAAACATCTACACATACATTAGTGCTGTTATTTAAAATGGCTTGGAAGAATGAAGTTAAATAATGGCCTGCCTACAGGTACTTACGAGCTGGCCATTCCAGTGAAAAGAATATGAAGAATTTAAGATTCCTCCAAGTAATCACTTTGTGATTTCATATCAGAAACAACCGCATGAATGTGGTATCTTTGAGTGAATTCAAAGGATGGCTTCATAAAAATGAGGACCAGGCTGAAAAAAAGGGTAATAGGTGATTCTCTCTCCTTGGGGAGGGGAAAGAGAGAACCCTCCACACACCAGCAGCTATTGATCCCTTGTATGCTCTATTTCGAAAGGCCACTATGGATGGGTTCTGGACAGAGCAACCTGGTCCAGTGGAAAGTGTCCCTGCCCATGGCAGGGGGCTGGAATGAGACATCTTTAAGGTCCCTTCCAATCCAAACCATACTATGATTCGGTGTCCCTGTGTTGCCTGGACAAACTCATCAATGCTCTTTTTATTGCAGTACTTTAATGCAAGTATGCAGTTTCTAGACAGGAATCTTCATTTCATGATGAAAAAGGGGACCATGATAGGGTGATGCCACAGAGCAACAGAGGGCTGCTCTTTGTAATGGAAAGTCTGTCCACCGGTTCCCTTCTCAGCCTGCTTCATGCCTGGGACTAGAGACTGGCAGAAGCATTATCTCATTGTGGAGGGAAGTCTGCAAATTGATGATGCATTGAGGGCGCAAATCTGGTCATTTTAACAGCTACCACACTTTAGGTCAAAACAAAAGCCCAGCATATTCATTATTTCATTAACTGTAATGAGTCAGACATTCACAGTGTTATACCAAAGCTGAAATGATAAAACAGACTGAAAATCCTGTCAGAAATAGCTAGACAAGGCATTATTCACTTATATTACAGGCATTACATTTAAAACAACCCACAGAATCAGTGTGCACAGGATTTTTAGCCTTGTCCATCCACCAAAGAAATCAACTGTCTATGCGAGATCTTCATCCTGCTGAGCAGCACCAGCACCCAGGCTGACAGTCCCCAGCTTTGTATGTTTGGGGTGGAAAGTCACACTACAAGACCACAAATCTGGAACTGAGAGTTTATCCTGTAGGGATGGAGGATGCTAGTCTCCTGGGAGCACTGTGTAACATAACTGTTGCAGAAGGATGCCTAGAAAACCTTGTGCCTGAAGCTATTTAATTGAAACTGCAGTAAGTCAGATTTCTAGCAAAATGTTTTGTTCTGATGAACCATTAATCTGCCTGGAACACTTTTTGTTGGTTGGAAGAATGAATAAATACATTTACAAAGAAAAGAGAACAAATATAATCTAGCCAGAAATTATCCTAAGACTGTGCTCTAACTTCAACTTAGGAAGCATTTCATTTAAATCCTTAGGGTATTTTCCCTTCCTACCATGGCAATCAAGAACGATACTGAGAATCATCTTCCTCCAGAAGAGCTCATCTCACACCATTCCCTGCATCCCCCGTGTGGATGCAGGCAGGCAGGAATAGTAACCCCACAGTTTCACAAAAAGGGGCAGCTTTTAGTCCTAAGAGTTGGGTTTTCTTACTCACTAAATTGGTACTGCTGGTGTCAGGGGTTCTCCATGTCAGCAGAGCAAAGTGCCACCTCTGCCAGCTTGCCTGACTCAGCAGAGCCCAGCCTCATCGCCTGGTCAAGTGTTTTGTGTGGATATTCTACAGTTTGCTTTGGAGAGGAGGCCATTCGAGAGCCTATCAAGCTAACAAAGCAGCATATTAGAATATATTTTTGATAATTATATTAATGAATACAGCCACAGAAAGACTTTTCACAGTACTTCAAATGCATAATGCACCAATTCCCTGTGAACATGAGAAGCATCAAAGTGATTTGGTACATTTTCAGTTTATCCTTAAATAAAAAACCCAAAAGAAATTATGCAATTACCTATCTCAGCAGTCCCTCACACATGCAGAGCCAACAGGCCACTTACCATTAAGCAAACAGGTGTGGGGAACATGTTTTAACATAAATAAAGCTGGTTCAAGCAAAGGAAAGCAGATCAATAAAAACTAATTCCTGTCACTTCCAATCAAGGCGAAGAGATCAATGAAACTTAGCAACAGTTAAATAAAACAGGTTAGCACAGTAAAGATGATTTCTTCAGGTGCTTCAAATCTTACTGGGCTTTTTATTTTTCTTTGCCTTGAGAGTTCTTGTCCAAGTTGAATATGCTCTTTACTTTCACTTTTCCTTCTCGCTTCTTAGACAAGCAGATTGTTTTGAGAGCCATGAAGACAAAGCTATTTATCCACAGAAGCAGAAGCAGTTGTGGCACAAGCGGCCCCAGAAGTCCTGCTAATGGATCTCACTAGTGTGTAAGAGGGACACACAGAGGTCAAACACTACCCATGCCACAGCTGGGTGGGAAAAAGAGCTTGTCCCTCCTTAAGTAACATTCAGACCAGGGATCCCCTACAAGAGCTTCTTGTAAGAAAGCCCATCTAAGTGAGAAGCTACTTGAGAAGCTGAGCAAACTGACGATCCTTTAAGGAAACAGTAGTCACCAAACTGTAATGAACATCATTCATGATCTGTTTGGACTGAATTTGCATCAACAATGAAGAGATTAAATAGTAGATCTTAGTCAGCCATTACGTCTCAGACTGCTTTCCCCTTTCATGCTAACTGCTCATTGAGGCTGTATATTAATGCAGAAGGTAAAGGTTATCAAGTGAAATAAATCAAAGAAACTAGGAAGATCATTAACATTCCCCCCCAAATAATATTTTATATAAATATTTTACATAAATGAACAAAACCTGATGAGTTTTAGATGTGTTTAAGGGTATGTTAGTTATTTGGTTATTATTAGCCATTTACCTAAAACTTGGTTAAATGAAAACAGTATTAGCCTAAATTCTGAACAGAAGAAATTCAGAAAATACTGAGTAAGATGCAGCTATGTAATCTTATTCTGACAATAATTATGGTTAATAAAGTATTAATTGTGAAAAGTGCTAAGATGGATAGAGGAAAAAAAATTACTATGAAGGAGCAGCTGAAGAAACTAGAAAATGCTATTTCATTCTTGTATTTCTCTTATATTTATTGCTATTTTGATGACTTCTCTGTGTCTGTTGAAAAAGGTGCAAGAAAATATAGAAAACAAAACTATTTTTCTGTATTTCCACCTGACTATGTAGAGGTTTTTAACTCCTATATTGAACTGCTCGGAAGAGCGCTGGATGCTATTTGGCACTCTGTGGAGACTGAAACATGCCATTTGATACTGATGAAACTACCTTTACAGAGCAGGAGGTGAATGAATATGAATGCAAGTTTGCAAAAGTTGCCCTTTTTGCCACAGACCTTAAATTAAATTTCCAGCAAATCCTTTTAGAGTGGGTCAGCATTCATGTTCTATAAATGTGGCTCTCAGAATTCAATATAAAAAGCTTCCCTTTATAAATCCTATTTATGACTTCCTTCCCCCTTTTTTTTCCTTTTCTTTTTTTTTCCTTTTCCTTAATTACAGCAGAGGGGGATTAGTCAGTGTAAGTCCCCAGGGAGCTATATACAAAGCCATCTCTGAAATTAAACTAAAGGGAAAATGACAGAAGGCATTGAGCTCTGGGAACAGACAAGACTGCCTAATCTGAAGAAGACAGGCAAATTTTCTGGACCACTGTGACTGAATGAGAAAAGGCAAAACTCCAGGAGCCTTCACCCTGCACCTTTATCCTCTTTATCCATTCTTTCCTAAAAGACAAACATCTAATTTCCATTTCATTACTTACATTAAGATCTGTGAATGTCACCATTTAATGAAGAAGGCAGATTTAAATCAGAGATTATTTTACTCTGGTTGACATGAGTAAAGCCATTTTTCTTCAGTTCTGTTAATTTACTTGATCTGGTTTTACACGTGTATGTAGCATCCTTGAGGCATTTTAGTTTTTCGATGTTGTAGAAAATTTCCAGGCTGGCTACTATTTCTCTTTCTTTGCTTTTAGGACTACATAAATCTTGGTTGAGTTTGAGATTTTAGAGTCAAAACCCAGAGATACTTTGTTTAAACATGACTTTTCCTGAAGCTGTGTATTCCCTAAAGAAATTTAAAGGAATTATTTAAAGAAAATGGTTTTGGTAGACTATGGCTAAATTATACAAATGCACAGAGTCTTATTTCAGTCTTTGTATTTTGGTCTACTAAGGCTGAACAGAGCTCTTCCAGTGGAATGGTGCCCAGCTATAGAAACATGGATTTGACGTAAGAGAAGTCTTTATAAAAAATACATCAGATTCAGTGACATTTTGTTTCAGAAAGTAGCTGGAGAAGGAACTTTTTTTTTCAAGTTCTTTAAAAAAATGTCTTGTTTCAGAAATTAGTATTCTGAATTCAAAAGAAGAAATAGGATTTAAGGGCAGGATGTTAAGGAAATTAAGTAACTTGATCCATCTGAGCAGTTTTTACAAGGTTGATGGTGTTCCAGCGTGGAACACATTTCACATTATGGGTTTTCCTAGGTGGGGGAAATGCTAATTTCATTTCCAGGAAAATTCAAACTCTTGATAAAACCAGATCTAAGTTCACTGTTTAAACCCAAGGAACCACTGTAGGGCTCTGAAGGCACCCCCCCACCTTCACAGCCTGGGCCAGCCTCATTGGGGCTCCAGACCTGCCCCAGCCCAGCACTGCAGCACAGCCCAGGGGGACCACCAGCCCCTGCCCAGCACTGGCCTCCTGTCCCTGTCCCCATCCCTGCCGTGGCTCCCTGTGGGACGGGCCCAGCGCCACCTCCCTCAGGAGAGAGCAGTGAACTGGTCACAGTGGGAGAGGCTGGCGTAAGATTATCACAACACAACAAATACCCAAACATTGGCTTACGCCATCCTCCTCCTCCTCCTCATTATTATTATTATTATTCTATTTGAAGGTATTACTTACAGAGTCCTGATCTTTGGCATATGATTGAAACTGGTAACAGGAATGCGGGTGATGTTGTTATTGTTGAGAGTACTGTTAGGAGAAAAAAAAAAGAGAGAGAAGAAAATAACAGATTGATCAATTATTTACCTTTCTTCACCAACACACCATTTACAGAAACAAGCAGCTAAAACTCTTGGTAATAAATCTGGCAGGCTGCAAGCAGCAAGAACATGCTGACCAATACCTCAGACAATCTGCAGCCCATCATGAAGGATATTGTTAAGGCAACGCAATCAACAGCTGTATAAGAATGGCTGAAGGTTGCTATTTACCATGCCTGAGCACCAAGGAGGGCAGCAGATGAAGTTTTATCGACCACTGGAACAGATCCAGACTTTCTGGATAAGCTGCCACTTTGCTTGAAAAGCTGGTGCAACTGGAGCAGAGGAACATCAAACTGGCACACCGCAATGTGAAAGCTTCGCACTTAGAGCGCTCTCTCTCACATAAAAAAAGAGCTGTTGACTTGCCCAGGCTTATTAACACAGCCAGCTTATACGGCCAGACAGCTCCAATTGCCCTTTGAAAACACACTGACTCTTTCTTTAGTTGCCTTATGAAAAAACATATGGGTAGTGGAATGGATCAGAATAAAACATGTCATGACCCAGGCATATAAGGATTTCTGCTCCTCTATGAAAGCACAGCTTAAAGAGAAAATGATCCCAGCTGCTATAGGGACCCCCTGAGCGCTTCTTATGAAAAATGAACTGACTCGATTATCATCTTCTGAGTGTGCTGCTCCCATCTATGGAGCTCCTAATTATATCAATGACTCTCCAGCAAATTAGAAGATATAAAGTTTATCAAGATGGCACAGGAAATGGAAAGCACTCCAACAGGGCGTAATTGCCATGCTCAAAGTGCACCAGCTCTGCAGCTCAGTTTGCCATAGGAATCAATGGGGCCATGTCCCAGCATGGCTGGTGCTGCTCTGGCTGCAGTGGGGTGTCCTCTGCTTTATGTAAGAGGCCCAGCACTCCACAGGATCACACTGGGAGAAGACAGAGCTTTTGTGTGTTTGTGCTGAAGAAAATACTGAAACAGCCTGAAAAGGCATGTGACCCTTCCCTGTGTGAACTATCTAGTTGTGCGATATTACATATTTACAAAGGACACTTCATCAAAAGCTCCTGAAGACCTTTACAGAAGTTCAGTGGCCCTCTTGGTCATCTGCTGATTTAAAAACATTTTTACCGTTCTGCCCAGAAATCCCTTGGTGACACGATCATCAGCAGATTAAAGCTAAATTGGATTATACCCTACTAAGACTGCTTTTCGGGTACCCAGGAAGACATACAGGCATACTGGCAGAGCCAGGAGGTTGGAGGTAACACAGCCATGCATAGGTACAGTCAGGAGGGGTGTGTGAGCAGGCTCTGGCACTGGCAGCAGTGGGTTGGTGCTCCTGCACTGCATCGCAGCAGGGCAGAACATGACCACGCTGTTAGTAGGGTGGTAGCTGGTACTTCAGCACAGTGCTGCACCAGATGGATGCAGTACTGATCTGGAGCCAGCCTGGGGACTGACATACCCATGACAGCAAACTGCACCAAAAGAGCAAGATCACCCTTCCTTTCCAAATCTGTGAGCAGAGGGAGTTATGGCAGTAATAGCAAAGTTTTGGAAAGCTGGAATCTGCATGTCAGATCTGCTGCCAGAGATCTGTGTCAGTCAAGTCACACACGTTCACACACCAGGCTGGTAAGAGCTGTAGGCCTTAGTACACTGCCGCTTATAGTAGAATATATAGTATTAATTCCAGATCTTCTGGAAAACTTGCTGCTGCCAAAACCTGGACAAGAAACACCCAGCTAAGCATTGGGATCAATGGGTATCAAAATCAGGGGTTTGTGTATTCAATTTTTCAATATGCAAAGACTCAAACGCAGTCTATTACAAAGTTACTGGATAAGATGAAGAGGGGAATAGTGCCAGGTTCAGAAGAAAACCTAAGAGTGAGCTCTTACAGCTGTCAGCCCTGTCATTTCCTCAGCTATGCATCACAAGCTGCACATGTCACCACCTTACGGTGGCTTCAGTGCTGCAAGCGAACACAGTGACTATCAGGGTATATCTGATACACTGTTGGCCTGAGCAGCTCTACCTTGGAACTCCTGCTAATGTCATGATCACACACATCTCCCACTGTGGCAGCTTATATGGTGCAAAATGAAACCCTCTGTCATACAACTGCTACTGCTCAATTATCTTATGCAGCTAGTGATGGGGGTTGGAATGACATGAGCTTTACGGTCCATTCGATGGGACAAGGGGTGATGAGTTGAAAATAAACAGGGGAAGTTCAGGTTGGATGTAAGGAAGAAGTTCCTTACTGTGAGGGTGGTGAGGCGCTGGCACAGGGTGCCCAGAGAAGTGGCAAATGCTCCATCCCGGGCGTTCAAGGCCAGGCTTGGGCGACATGGGGTGAGGTGTCCCTGCCCACAGCAGGGGGCTCAAACTGGATGATCTTAAGGTCCTTTCCAGCCCAAACCATTTTAGGATTCTATGATTCCAACCCAAACCATTCAATTATATAATAAAAGCAAGCATACGCAATTTCAGCAAATGAACACAACCTCTCATAAGGTGCATACATCTATACATCAGCACACCCACCCTTCAATATCTGTATTTGATATTTGCATCTACACATGCATGTGGGGAAGCTCGAACAGGGCTCACAAATGGAATTTCTAATTGCACCACCTTTTCTTTTTCTATAAACATAGAAATATAATTCACCTTCTGCCTCAGTTGCCTGTGCCATACAAATGAGCTATGCACTTGGAAGCTTTTAGGTACACACCGATAAATAAAAGCCACATGGAAAGTCAGCTCATAACAATTAAATCACATACAGAGCTGATGTCTGCATGGGTCACGGCATGCACTACAGGAGTCAATGGAAGCCACAGGAGTTCAAGGGAAACTTTCTATTGATCTCAGAAGGACGTGGAGTGGATTCAGGCAGAACGGGACATGACAGCAAGCTTCCTTCTGCAAGGAGGGTAGAGAATACCCTGTCTCCCAGTGCAATTCTTCATCCAGATGCGGAAAGGTCAGCCTCTGCTGTCTGACTCTGTGATTCCAAAGTATTTTAAAATCTCTTAAAATATTTCTGCTCTACACACAAAACATTCTCCCAACCACAGAGTATTTCTACTCTTAAAATGTCTGATGAGAGTGGCTCAGGTTTTGCCCCTAATAAGCACAGGTTTCCCCTTATTCATCAACAAATACATAACCCTCCTTCCAAGAATCCTAAGTCACTGCTGAATTAAAGTACTCCTTAGCCACAAATTTCACAGATAACTCTAGCAGACAGCTAATGCGCACACGATTTAGTAGCATACTATTTCATTGATATTTAAATGTTAACCATAATGGAGGCAATAAAACATCTATGATAACAGCAATTATTTCAGAACAAAGAAGGCCAAACACTGCAAAGGGCACTAATTGACAGTGAACTGTGCCTCACAGGAGCTGTAGGAATTTAACCCTGCTGAGCAGGATGTGCCAGACACACACCTCCCACTGCAGGAACTCCATGGATTTTGCATGCGGACGGTTTCGGGTAGAGGTGGGCTCTAGAGGCACTCTGTAAAGGTTTCCTAGGCACATGAAGCATTCCCAGCAATGAGGTTTTGTGTCCTGACAGAGGTAAGGGCACAACACAGGGGCATTTTTAACGCATGAAGGAAAAAAATCAATCCTGCTTCACTGGTGTTCCACTGCTAGCGGCTCCGAGGCCCCTGTTTCATTTTGATCCGATGTTTCAAGTCCATAGAAACAGCCATGCAAACACCAGGAAGCTGCTAGAAAGAGAAAACTTCAAGAATCTTCCAAATCCTCCAACATCATGTGGGAGAACTTGTATTCTGCAGAGTTCTCCCCAGCTTCATACCTCCCGTCTCTTCCAGAACCCAATCTACCCTTGTCCCTTGAAAAAGCACTGTCCTCTCAGTTAGAAGTCCTCACCCTGTAAACTATTCACATCCAAAATGCTGAATCAGGAAACCGAGGTTATAGACAATATTATTTATGCCAGCAAACTTCCCACCTTGGGCTGTGATCCTTGTCAGATCTTGCAAGCTAAGCAGAAGCAGACTGCAGCAGTCCTAAGGATCCTCCAAGGACTACTTGGAAGATACATAATGTGGGATCAGCAGTCTTTTGAGGTGGTGCATCCTCCACCAGTCTGAGCTGTCACAGTCCCATTGACTCCAATTTACAACCCCAGAGGAACTGCACCACTAACTCATTCCTCTGCCAGTTGTCCAAACTGGTTAGAGGCACGCATGGAGCTGCTTTCTTCCTTCTGAAGAATAAAGCTGATTTATAACCCCTACTAATCAGGTCTCTCTAAAGGAAAGACTGCTCGCTCTGCAATCCTTTGAAAACAATTACCTATCTCCTTCCTCTAACTTTTTGTGCAAATTCAACTACATGCAGTTGCATTTCTATTCTCTTCTGACTTGCTCCAGATTCATGTACATCACTGCAATGTGATTACATTAAAATCATTAACCTCCAGAAATGACTGTCATGTGTGCATTTTTAACGTAATATTTATGCATTATTCTTTACTCTTCTCCACCCTCCTGAATAGGAATACAGGTGTTCAGGACTAGGTGAGAGCCAGAAAGAGTCCGTACTCCTACTGCTAGGAGAAATTACACAACTTCTATGGAAGGTACTTTGGGGAAAAAAAAAAGAAGGAAAGGGTTTAAATTTTGAACCCTACTAATAATACATGTATTTTAGTTTAAAAACGCAGGAACTCCAAGCACCCTCTCATGTTCCTTGGACTGAGAAGGCAGAAATCCCTGGCTGTTAGATCAATAGTTAAACATTCTCAACTCTGTAAATTACAGAGTACACAGAGATTTTGTTTCTCCTACTTGGAATTCAATTAATGACATAATTAAGAGCACATAATGAATATCAGAATGCCTGGTGATTTACTCATCTGAAACAATACTACTTTCATTCCCACATTTCTACCTACTGTGTTCCAGTTAAGT